TAAAATACAGTTGGCCCTTGAACAGTGTTAAGGAGAGGGGTAAGGGTGCTGACCCACTGTAGATCAGAAATCGACATAGAAATGGACCCATACAGTTCATACCCTTGTTGTTCAATGGCCAACTATACTGAGTTTGGAAATTACAGGCCTTTTCAGGGAGGAGTGAGTGGATATCCACAATGTGGGCGAGGAATGAGAGGACTCCAGAGATCGGCTGGGGCCACATGGTGGAGAACCTCCAACATCAAGACAAGTTTACACATCTTTCTGCAGGTGGTTGAAAATAGCTTACTGTGTGTCTGGCAGGAGGTGGGCATTTCACATGCATCTATTAACAATTGCCCTGAAAAATTATTGTCCCTATTTTACAGGGGAAACACCAAGCTTTGAGTGTCTGGGTAGGTGACTTGCCAAAAGCAACACAGTCAAGTCTGCGACTGAGCCAGGATTTGAGTGCTAAAACTGAGCTTTGGGAAGGCAAAACCAGCACCAAACTGAAGGTAGGAGAAGAGGGGCATGACTAAAGGCAGTGCAGCTTGGTCTACAAGGAAACAAAAATGTGCTGGTTGAACTTCATTCCTGACCTCCGGGTCTAAGCTCTTCAAACGCTTAGGTCTGGTCCTCAGGGAGGCATCAAATGCTTAAATGGCACCAGCTGCAGCTTTTGCTTAAATGTGCATATGAGGAAGAAAACATTGATTCAAGATGCTAAAGAGTAGCCCAGCAGGTGTTGTTCAGTGGTTGAGTGTTAACCTATGAACCAGGAGGTCATAGTTGGATTCCTGGTCAGGGCACATTCCCAGGTTGCAGACTTGATCCCCAGTAGGGGGTTGCAGGAGGCAGCTGTTTGATGATTCTCTCATTGATGTTTCTATCCCTCTCTCCCTCTCCCTGAAACCAACACACACACACACACACGTATGCATTTTTTTATATGTATGCATTTTAAAGATGCTAAAGAGTAGGGCCATCCAAACCAGGCCTTCTTAAAGGCCATTCCAGACTTTAAAAAGGCACCAAAAATATTTCCTGACTGCTGCTTCCGGGACCCTGCTAACCCCATTCCTCCTGAGCTCTGCTGAGGCCCAGGACATAATCACTGGCGCTGGAAACTCCATTTCATAGGGAGGCTGTTTGAGGGACTGTTTTATGGCCTTGGGAAATATTCTTTGCTTGCCTGGGCCTGCCTCCTCTTCTGTAAACTAAAAGGAGTCCTGCTATTTGTTATCTAACATCCTAAGTATATACACAGAGCTCTTCTAATGTATCTAGCGCCTGGTTTCCTGGCCCAAGTCACCCCCTCCCCTTCCAGAACAGAAATGTAGGCGGCTGTGGGGAGGGGAGAGGATCCAGGGCAAAGCCAAACCAGCCACAGGAAGGGTGAGTACAGATGCCACAAGAGAAGGAAGTACCCAGCCTGGGAACGGAAGAGAGGGGAACTCACTTGCTGAGCATCTACTCCACGCTTGACATGTTACCTCTGTGTGGCAAGGGCTCATTACCCCAAGTTTTCAACTGAGATAACCATTCAGAGAGGGTATCTTTCCCAAGAGTGCGTACCCAGCAAGGAAACCCCCCAGCATTTGAACTGGATCAACTCCACCACCCAGAGTCTCAGTACTCTCTCATGCAGACGGTTAATGAGATAGGAAAACCTCCCTCATCCCCACCTCCCACCCAGTCAAAGCACCTCACCCAGGCTAAGGCCTCTCTCTCCTGGGCTGCACCGTGGGGGAGGGGGCATAAGGAGGAGGCAGAGGCGGGAGGTGAGCACAAGGTCTTTTATGAGGCATCAAATATACATTCTTATATACAAGGAGGAAAAAAGACAATGCCTAAACCCCAGCTCCTCTCCATACAGCCCCTCCCGCTGCTGCCCTCCCCTGCCCCCAGGCTCCACGGTCCCTGGCCTTCAGCCAGCCAGGCCTGTCTGTCCACTGCAGCCCAAGGTGGAGAGGGGGGTGGGTGGGTGGGAGGGGCTGTGAAAGGAGCTGGATCTGCAGGGCAAGAAGAGGAGCTGGAGTTTGTAAAAAATATATTTATAATAAATAAACAGGGCTGGAAAGGGGCTGGAGAGGCAGCAGAGGATTTTGATGGACAGAAGGACTTGGGCATCCTGGCTCCCAGCCCCCACTCTGATGGCTTCCATCTCTGCCTCAGGAAGGACATCTTGGGCTCACGGTGGCCCTCTGGGAGCCTCTCCCCAGGGCTGATGCTGGGCGCTCTGTCCCAGCGAGGTGTGTGTGGGTCATATCTGTAAAGTGCACTGTCTTCGGTTGTAGGTGGGAGAGGTGTAAGGGATGGGGGGGCATGCAATATGGGTGAGGGAAGCAGTGCCCTTCTCATCCC